AGGCAGGCAAAGAAGGAAACAGCTGGATTGTGCCGGTGCTTAAAGGCCTAAAAAGATCATCTCCAACAGGACTAAAAATTACTCTAAGATCGGTTTGTTCCTCCAATATATTTCCTACAAAAGCAGCCAATACTGTGCACATTTCCTTATAGCCAATAATAGTGTTGAACCTCAAAATGGTCCGATACCCTTTGCATATGACGCAGCACTTCTCAATTTCTCTAGTTCTGAAATACTCTATCTACTTCAAACTACTACTCCCCGTATAACGAGCCAAGGCGATCAAACTCATGCAAATAGCGCCCAACTTTGAATTAGGACAAAAGCGTTGTTGTTTCATTTGAATTAGGACAAAAGCATTACTAGGTTTACTGTGAGACTGGCTTTTGTGCTAACAACAATTGTGCTCCTAATAGGTTGTGGACAGTAATTGTTTTGAAAGATATGGAAACAAATTAACATCAGTTATACAGTTTTTTGAGTTTTTCCACTCATGTGTACTGACGTGCTTGACTTTATGAAACAGTGTGTAAGAAAGGTAGTATGTTTAACTTGTTGGTGCATTAACCAAAATTCTGCTTTGCAATTCAGTTCCAATTCGATGAGCTTCTCAAATTACTTGTGATACCTTGCTAATCCTTTTCATCAAAACGAGTAACATAAAAATATACATCATTGCTACTTGCTGTCAATGCTTCTTTAATCTTTTCTTTAGCTGAGGATCTATCGGAAACAGCCTCTCTGCTCTTCCAGGGTAGGGGTAAGGCTGCGCACATCCTACCTTCTGCAGACCCCATTTGTCGGGTTGTTGTTGCTCTTTTTGGCTTGAAAATTGGAATTGGGCAAAGCACATTCACTTGCATTTTTCTTGTTAAGATTGTAACATAGTTTTCTAGTCTTCCTATCATGCTGTGTAGTCTGGCATCTGTTTATATATGCTCAAATATTTTTAGATTCGGGAAGGGAGGAAGCAAACATTGTCTGAATGTCTGAAGAAAGAATTCAGACTTACAATCAATATATTAAGAACAAGAATATCTGGTGATGTCTATGAGGTAACACTGAATTGCTGTTAAGTTTTAGACATACTTGATCGATCCATTTGAATCTAATTTGCATTTGGTTTCATTTTTGAAGGGTATCAGGGCTCTTACCATTGACAAGGATAACTCTCCAAAAGTATCTCTCTCTCTCTCTCTCTCTCTCTCTCACACACACACACACACACACTTGCACTTATTTTAGGAGACATTTTTGTGTTTGTGAGTATGTTGCATTATTAATTTTTGTGAAACCAATAACATTTTTAAAGATGATTTATATAATGCAACACTTATTAAAGAGTTGAGGTTTGGCACTCTATGTTGCTCGGACTCTCCGGAAATGTCGTCGGATGTGTGTCGGATCTTCCATAAGTAGTGTATTTTCGAAGGATCCGACACGGGTACGGTAGCATTTTGAAGAGTCCACGCAACATAGTTGGCACTTAAAAGTATCATCGAGCCTTACACTAACTCTGCTCTCTCTTTGCTCCCTTTCCCCTGGGACATTACTATCTACCTGCAATCATCGTCAGTGGGACCCCCCAACTCTTGAAAAGTTGGACGATGAACGAGTCAACCTCGTCTTTGAGCCATTTGAAGAAGATTTCGAGTTCAACATTCCAGAAAATGAGCAGTGCAGGTATGGCTGGTTCAATTCTGATTTCCGCGTTACATACAATTGTGCTTTCTTAAAGAGCATATGAAATATAAAGATTGGTGGGTTACTTCAATATCGTTGCGTGTGATATGATCTACAGGTGGGATGGAAAATATGAGGATTCAGCATATTGCCGCCAGTGAAAAATCAGAATACATGTCAGTTAATAGCATCAGGCATTGGTTTTAACAGTCCTTGTTATTTTATCATATACCCTTTGCTGGTGCGCCATGCTTCTTCCACTAAGATTGTCTTCTGAACGTTACATCGATAATCAATAAACTGATCCTTGGAAGATCTTGTTCTGTTCTGTCTTGTTGACATTTTAATGATGTTTTAGGCTTAATTATGCTCTGTTGTTATCATTTTTAAGTATTATAAAGTTCTTCCTATTCAAACTGAGGTTGGAGGGATTTCAATCCTGCTCTTGCCTGTGGCAAATGCAATTGTAACAAGGTCTTGGTCCTAATATAATACTCCATCCGTCTCATAATATGTGTCGTGGTTACTAAAAATAGTTGTCTCAAATTATTTGTCATTTTAGAAGTTCAAGACAAAATTGATTATATTTTTCTTTTTTTTACCCTTAATAATTAATTATCAAAATTGATTACTTGATAGATTCTAATATTTTGTAAATATTGTTCTTTTAGTTTTTTTTGTGGTTCCATAACATTTTAAAAAATTAGCTATTGAATCCCTCCTTTTTTTAATTGATGAAACTATATTCTAACTCAAAATCTTTCTATGAGTTTACATGTTACCCTAAAATTTGATGTTTTGAGCAAAAAATCATTTTTTGGTCAAATAATTAATTATTGCATGTTATTTAAACAAATAATTTATATTTAGGTAATCAGTTTAAATTAAAAGTAAATTAAATTATAAATTATTTGTATATGCATCAATTTAGAATAAAATATTATAATAAAATCGTCTTTTTTATAGTGTTAACAGCTTTTAGGATATTTCAGTCATTTTGACATAATCAAGTGCTTACCAGCACTTGTTTGCCAAACGCTTCAACAATTTTTTTCCAGCTTCAGCACTTTTATTCAAACACCTAACTGCTTATTTATAATACAAGCTCCAGCACTCAGAAAGTGCTTTTAAGCACTTGTGCTTAAAAGTCACTTTTTTTTTAAGTCAATCCTAACGGGCTCTAAATATGACAATGGATAGCATACGCATATAATCTGTACTCTCTTCGTTCTTCTTTACTAGTATTTGAACCCGTGCGATGTGCGGATAATTTGACGGAATATTAATCTTATAAAATTATGACCTAATATATCATATTAATTTAATAAATAATAGTTACTATTTTATTATTTAATGTAGTGTACATAAATATAATAAAATCTATCAAACTCAAAGGATACAAAGCATTATAGTAATCAAATAAATTGTTTATTCCTTGTTTATTCTTTATTAAATTAGCAAGTACTTAGTACTATACATTTACTAATGTGAATTTTTATTAATTTATCAATTGGCTTAACATTTTCATACTACTTGTCTTCTAGTAGAACATCCGTATATCTTTTCTTGTTCTGGAAATATATATTTTTATACTTATGTTATACTTTTTAAAATCCTTCAATTGTCTAAATTTATCAATAATTTTCTTGAGTGTTATTTATTTATATTTTATTTATTAATTAATTCAAAATATAATAATATAAAATTATCGTTATGCACCTCTTTTCGTACATTCATTTCTACTATAATATTTGATTGGTTTTCTCATTTATATTTACTGAAAATTTAAATAATATCATTTTTTTACTAAATTATAATTTTGAATTCATCAAAAGTATAAAGAGATAAGCCTTTTATTATTTTAATAGAAAACGTACTAATATTTTTAATAATTAATAAAATATGTTTTATATATATAATATATTATCTTATGTATAATATCCTAATAGTTTCTTTATATTTTTGTATTTCTCATTATGAAATTATGAGTTCTATTTATTAATTTATTAAGTAAATTTTCCTACATGAGAAATTTAATTAGTATATGTATTTTTATGATGTCATTTGATTTTCTTAATGTTCTTCATTTATGACTATTTGTTTATTATGATTTTAGTTATCTGTATATGTACGACTTTTCTCATAATAATTCTAATTATTTTTATAAGTCTTAGTAGTTTTATATATATATATATATATATATATATATATATATATATATATATATATATATATATATATATATATATAATCCCCAATTTAAATGAGTAGAATATTTTTTTGTATTTTTATTTTTATTGATAATTATAAGATATCTATATTTATTAATTCAAGTAGTGTAACCAATTCATTCAAAATTTAAAGTTCAAAAAATAAATNTATTTGTTTCTTGGTTATCTAATTGTATTATCCATTACTTAATATTGTTAAATTGACATATGAATTATTAATAAATTACCAATTTAGTATAATAACTACTCCCATATATATACACACACACGCACACTATTACTACTATATTAGGAAGAAATTACTCTCTCATTTGAATTGGTAGTTTTTTTATCTTTTGTTTTTTTTTTGTTTTTTTTATTGTAAAATAATTTTAAAACTCCAATTTGTATGAGTTGAATATTTTTTTTTATTTTCGTTTTTTATTGATAATTATAAGATATCTATGTTTATTAATTCAAGTAGTGTAACCAATTAATTCAAAATTTAAAAAATTCAAAAAAAAAAAAATAGTTAGAAAAGTAGTTTATTTTGTCTTAACAACGCCATTTGTCTTTTTGTGGTTAAGACACTTGTCTTAATGTAGTGCTTTTCCTTCTCCTATTCTATATAGATAGATGCCACTTGGCTTTTTGTGATTAGGACACTTGTCTTAATGTAGTGCTTTTGCTTCTCCTATTCTATATTGATAGATTGTTGTAATATACTAGTCCGTTCTAGAAAGAATCATAATCCTAAGTGTCCCAATTTGTTTGATGCATTTTGAGTTTTGAGAACCAAACTTCTAAAATTTGACTGCAAATCCGGACATAAAGTCTTTCATTTTTTTTAATAAAATTTACATATTTAAAAGCTACATCAAAAGTACTATTACTAATAATAATTAATAATTTAAAATATTTAAAAGACATATAAAAAAAATTATTTCACTCTCAAAAGCCGAAATAAACTAAATAAATTTCTAATTTTGGCAAGAGTTTAACTTTAAACTTCCAAAATTTTATCGTTAATGATGATGCATAGCCACTTAACTATTTATTGGAGTATTTTTGGCTCTTAAACTCCAAAGTTTGCCACATAGACACGAGGGAGTATTATATATAGAGAGAGCATAAGCCAATAGGACATGAGCAGAAGGAGAAGCAGAATTTTGGTGGTTTCCAAGTTCCAACAGAGAGAAATCGAAACTTGAAATCTTTCAACGGCGGTGACATAGAGGCACCGTCTTTCGGATAGGGACGTCCGGTAAGTTTAATCTTGTCAACTTTATTCCTTCGATTTCTTGCACTTTCTATTAAGCTATATTATGTTTATTTAGTTCTTCAAATTTTAGTAATAGTAAAACTATTAGGTTAAGCTGATCCTGTGTTAGAAATATACCAAATATTAGGTTTTTTCCCCTCCTAATCTTCATGTAAATGTGAGTTTGTTGGAAAACTAATTCAAAGTTGTAGTAGGAACCTTAATTGTTTAGGATTTGATATTTGTTAGTTTGTTTAATTCATGTCTAAATATGATTTGTAGTCAGAATTATATAGGAATAGGTTTTCCTGTTCTAGTTAAAATAGGTAAGGGTATTGTTAGCTTATTTTATGGGGGTGAAGATTTGTGGAGAAGTGTGTGGAAATTTGTGGAGAACTTGTTGAAATCAATCAGAGATTTATGATAAAACAATTTTCCTTCGGAGTTTCTAAAGCTTAAACGAGCAAAAGGATAAAAATGGTTGTTTTTGTTTTTTTTTGATTTTCCATTATTTTGGGTATCGTTTGATTATTGAAGTATTTATGTACTGTATGTATTATTGCTAGCAGTCATTTCGTTTACTTCTTTTAGTTGTAGCATGTCGAGGGCACTTTTTTATTGTTGGATATTCCTTATCTTCATATTCTTGGTTACTTTCTGCAGATTTTAATTTGCCATTGATTTATTGTTTCACGATGCCTCCTAAGGGCAAAAAGCATGGTTGTCAAACTGCACCTTTGGACATACTTTGCAGCCTTCCTGAGAACGTAATACATGATATTCTTATGCGTTTGCCTTTAAGAGAAGCTGTGAGGACAAGCATCTTGTCACAGAAATGGAGGTATAAGTGGTGTAGACTTCCAGAATTGACACTTGATCTAAAGATATTTACGAAGGACTCGGTACCCCCTACATTTAAGTTTACCAACATTATCTACCACCTTTTGACCCATCATACTGGACCAATTACTAAGTTTGCCCTATCCTTTAATTCGGATGTGATGCCATGTCCTACCATTGACAACTTAATTTATTTTCTCTCGAGAAGTGATATTCAGCATCTTGATCTTAAACTTCCGGGCGGGGGTGACCTTTACAAATTAACTTCTTCATTTTTCACATGTTCTCAATTGAGGCATCTGACTCTCAAAAACTGTTTAATGCTTCCTCCACCGGCCTGCAAAGGATTTGAGCTGTTAATTAGCTTGGAATTACGTAGCGTCACAATTTCACCAAAATTCCTTCAAAGATTAATCTCTTGTAGCCTGTTGCTCGAGCAGTTGGTTTTGAACAATGTAGGTTTAAGTGGCGTCATTAAAATTAATGCTCCTATGTTGAGATCCTTTGACTTCACTGGTGAAATAAGTTCTATTAGTTTAAAGTGTACCCCTCTTCTGACAAAATTGTCTCTTGCGGATACGGAAGATTATGAGGGGCTACGAGAATGTGATATTGCCAAGTTTTTTGAGCCTCTTTCTGCTCTCGAGTATCTGCAGTTAAATCATGATAGTTTGAGGGTAAATCTGCTTTCAACACTTAATTGTTATGCATTTTCATAGATGTAATCTCTTTTGGGCCTTGAGTCGTTCTCTATTTTCTTCCTAGTTCTTGGCTGCAGGAGCAGGTGAATTGCCGAAAAGGCTTCCCTTTAATCTTAATTGTGTCAAACGTCTTCGCCTAGCTAATATTTATCTAGGTGGATCGGATGTGTTCTCGTGTGCTCTTTGCTTGATAAGAAGCTTCCCATATTTACAATATTTGAAAATCGAGGTTCTTAATCAGTTGACTCTTTCCTTCTCTTTCCTATTTTCTTACTTTCGATCCGCAATAAGTTTAAAGATTTGGGTCTTTGATAATCTCCTTTAGGTGGATGATGAAGATGATGACATTGCAGCTCTAGAATATCTTGAAGTGGAAGCTTTCTCAGATGTGACATTTAATCACCTCACGGAAGTTAAGCTAATATATACTATAGGCTCAGAGCCTGAGATGCAACTTATCAAGGTTCTATTAGCTAAATCTCCCATTCCGGTGAAAATACTAATTGAGCCATGTCTAGAAGCTAATGATGATGCTCACAAAACAGTCAATATTTCCACAAAACTAAACTCATTTCGGCGTGCATCACCTGATGTAGAAGTTGATTATAATTGTTATTATGACTAGTCTGTTTCGTTAAGAATTTGCTACTACAATGGTAAGGGATTTTACACATAGGGTGTGTTTGGTATGAAGGAAAATGTTTTCCATGGAAAATAGAAAATATTTTCATGGAAAATGAGTGGTTTTATCACTTATTTTCCCTTGTTTGGTTGGTGAGTGGAAAATATTTTCTGGAGAAAAATACTCATTTGTTGAAATGAAAAAATCTATCTATAACATGAAAAGAAGTACTATAAATAATATTTTTCTTTAGGATAACATGAAAAGAAGTACTATAAATAATATTTTTCTTTAGGGCGGGATTGGGGGTGGGGCGTGGGG